TGTCCTAGTGACCTAAGAGTAGAAAAAAAAAGGCTGACACTGAACCTTTAGAGCTGCCTGAAGCCCGTGGTTTTGCCTCACAAGGATTCCTTGTATATACATTGACATCATTATTTACTTAAACTTTGGCCATATTTAATATTAGCAACCACAGTATAATTATGACAGATAATAAGAAAAAAGAAGATCACCTCTGATAATCAATTACAAATCTAAATCACTGTTATCTCAAATCACTGCTAATCTCTTAGCAGTGACTTAAATATTTCTAAACTGCAGCTTATGGATGTAAACAATCATTATATTAGCAAAGTCTGAAAAACGCGCTTTGATCAGCAGATTTGAGACATCTTTTTTGGATACAACGTGTTCACTTCACCTGGAAACAGCAGAGTGAGAGACAAATAAAGTTTAACATTTCATTTAATATTAATATATTCAAAGTAGGTGAATAATCTTACTTTTAAGGTATACATTTACATGTGATTAAAGTTTAAGTTGGTCTAACAGCAACACATCTCAGTACAAACTTAAAAGAAACTCAAAGCCTGCTTAAATGCACATGCTTCCCTATTGGCTGTCTATCTGCTAACGTATGTGACAGGCAGCTTGTGATTGGCTGTTTCTATAACGATGCAGGTATGACTCATGTTCTATTCTGAGTCAGAGTTGAAGAGGGGTCCTGACCTTTCATCTCCTTGGTGACCGTTATGATGTCACCACACCTCCTTGCTGTCATCATCCTCTTCTGGCTCCCTCTGTCTCTGTCACTAATCCACACAGGTCGGTTGGCATCACAGGCGAGGAGAGCAGTGACATAAAAGCTCAAAGGCAGAGGACATTCAGTTTATCTCTGCGTGAGTAAATGATGTGCCCACTCTCCACCACACAGTCACTACCAGGCAATTACTATTAACCCTGCCTCTGCTGACCCTGATAACAGGCCTGAGTGCATTCATTCATGGCCAGTAGACACGAGAGGCTGTCCACTGCTGATCTTCATTAATATCCAGTCATACTTTTTTTATCACTGAATTTCTTATTCAAGTCTGTTGATGTTAAACTACAGTGTCAGAGCTGGTAGTGAAAATACTGAAAGCAATGAGGGAAAATATATTTGGTACATAAACAAACAAATTAAATAAATTGTGCACCTGAACTTTTGCCCTTTGCCAGGAGGGATAGGTTCCATCCCCCCATCACAATAAACTGCATAAGCAGTTAAGAATATGGATGGAGGAAAATAATACAGGAAAACATGGAAACAACAGGTACAAACAGGGAAAATAAATCATAACAAATGTATGTTAACACAAGGGCACCCTCAACAAGAAATGCAGTGGAGGAGTGGTTCATAGTTTTGCCTCACTGCCAGAAATTCCTGGGTTCAAATCCACCGTCTGACCATTTTCTCTATGTGGGGTTTGCACTGTGGGGTTGTTTTGATTGGTGATTATAAGTGGGCCACATGTGTTAATGCAACAGATCAGTGACACATCCGGGGTGTGCCCAGCCTGTTGCCCTATGGCAGCTGGAATCTGCTCCAGCGCCCCAGAATTGGATAAGCAGAAGAAAATGAATGATTGGAGTTAATGCCTACAAAATTATTTTAGTGCACATAATGGCCTGATAATTTATCTGTTGAGATGATTATTATTTCTAATTTTGGCACTTTCTGTGCTCCGTACCCACTGACCAATATGTCACAATCTATGCCCAACTAGTGCCACAAGTAATGTATTGAGAGATGAGAGTTGAGCATATCAGTCGTTTGTACTCACAACACTTAAAAATTAAAATATGCGCTCCTCCTTAGTTTACAAGAAAAATCAGTTTGTCCCAACAATCCTTCTGTCATCTTGATCAGTAACAATGACAGAAATATAAACAGGTAATCACAGAATTATCATTAACTGAATATCTTTTCACTGTAAACAGCATAACACTGAGGGTTTATGAGAAGAAAATCTAATTATAACTTTAAAGCTAAGATCTGTAATTCTCTGAAGATGTTGATCTCTGTGTTTATATATAAAGCGTATGGGGTTCTGTGGCTGCTTGTTGGTGGCAACTGGGTGGAGCAGTTGATGGTCACGGAGTGGACAGAGCGGAGTGATGGAGAGCAAGCACATATCCAATTTTCCATTATGTCTGTACGAATAGCCGGAGATAGATTGGTGAGTATGAGCAGTGAAGTCTGTAAGAAGCCCAGTATTTTTCCTCCCTGTTGGAGTCTGACTTATTTTCTGTCTCTCACAGTCTTGCTTTGCACCGTCTGCCTTTTTTAGATGTCTCTCGCTGATCATAAAGTTCAGAAGTTCAGACAAAAGGGGAGATGCATAGGAAAAAGCAGAGACATGGTCGAGTAATGCCAAGACTGTAATGAAAGCCAGCCTCATTCTTCACACACTGTTACATCATCCACACACTCCAACAACAAAGCCAAGTCAAAGTGTTTCTCACACACTGATGAACTCTGCTGACTAGAAGGATTCCAGTGTTGATGAATAAATTATAAATGAAAACATTAAAGCACAAAAATGACCTTGTAAAAATAAACATGTGATTTTCAGTCTTCCATGGCAAAGATATTGGCATTATCTTCTGCTATACTAGTCTTTCTCTTTTCAGGGAAGTTTTTTCCACAAGATTTTACAATTTACTGACAAAAAACCCTGTAAAGGGATTGAGGTCAGGTCTTTGTGGGGGTCACTCAACTCCTTCCACACCAAAGTGGGTGGTTAAATATGTAATGTTTGTGCATGATGTCTGCACCAAACCAAATGATTGTACCGCCCCCTGCTGGTGGGTGGAACATATTTAAAAAACCAACAACATGTTTTTTGTGAATAGAAAATAAATGCAAACGCTTGCGTTTGCACCTAGTAAACATACATACCAGACTAATAACATTAACATATTGTATTTGTGTTTTCAGTCATCCTACATCATTCCAGGGTATCTAAAGTTCAATCTGATTATCTCTAGAGCCACTCCTAATGCCTATAACCACTGGGACCACTTTGGACTTTACCTTCCACATCTGCTCCAGTTGGGTCCTGGTAGATTTTTGACTCGATGGATCTTTCTTCTGAGGCCTGTTCTTGTGCTGCCATGATCAGAGCCTCTCTGCTGTACTTTAAGCCACTGGTACCTACTTCCTTAATCTGCCAATGGTACATCCCATGCAGGGCTTGGTCATCTATGACAATTCCTCCTCCTTTACTTCATCACCATCTGTCTTCAGCTGCCTCGGGCTTTCTTGGAGTAGCTCATCTCAGGTGGATGTTTCAGATGTATTTATGGATGCTGACACTTTCTAATCATCTCTTATTCTTTCTTTATTGCCAAAGGCTGGACTTTAGAAGGAGACCTCTCTGTGTTGTGAAATGCTTTTGTGTCTTCACATAAGTGGCATCCATCTCCTCTGGTGGCCAGATTCCAAATGAGTATCTGATGAATGATGGCTTGGATTCTGCTGGTTTCTCACGGCCTGTCTTACCTTTTCAAGGTATTTGGCTGTGGCTAACCTTTGTGCATCTTTATCATTGCTTCCTCTGGGATACCCATTTAGTTGTAAATGTCCTGTATATCTGCTATCCTCCCTTCTGGTAGCTCCACCCATTCAGTCTGGATCACCTCTCCTCTCTTTACAACCCTTCGACCACATTTATCCAGTCCAAATCAGATCCTGATGTTCTCGTTGTAGATCCTCGTTAGATAGATCAGTGAGTTAATGTTTCAGTCACTCCTGGGATGCAACGTAATGTCATCCATTTGCAGGTGGTAGCTCACGGTCACTCCACTCCTGAATCTATAACTGGATCCACTCTCAGTGATGAGCTGGCTTATGTGGTTGAGGCCTATGCAGAACAGCAGTAGGTGCATTGGAGCTGGTCTCCAGTGTTGTCTTCCACAGTCCCATTAAGTTCTGAATAAATGTTATTAGTGTAGTATTAGCCTTTACAAGTATCCATATGTGGGGCACTGAGTCGTAGGCTTTCTAGCAGTCAGTTCAGACACCACTCAAGTGTATTGCAGCAACTCATGTGATTAGCTGATTGTGTACATGCCTAGACATGGGCATTTTGATCTCATGATCAAAATGGGAAAGAAACGTGATTTTACTGATTTGAGTTTACAGGAAGTCAACTGAATAACCATTTTTTACAACTCTGAATTTACAAAGCAGATGGGCTACAGCAGCAACACTGAGGCTACAATTTGCACAGGCTAAAAAAAAAACCAAAAAAAAAAAACTGGACAAATGTTACCTGGTCTGATGAATATTGATTTGGCCCAATTAACATGAAAGTATGTTGGAAAGGTACATGTACATTCTGCCTTGTACCGATAATTCAGTGGTAGTTTAATGGGGTGAACGATATTTGTGTTATGTATTATTTAAATGCCACACCAGACCTTGCTGTTGCTGCTAACCATTTCCGTGCCTTTATGACCACACTGAACTCATTTTCTGATAGCAGCATAACACATGATGTGTGACAGAGCTCAGATCATCTCAAACTGGTTTCCTTAACATGCCAGTTTACTGTACTCACATGGCCTCCACAGTCATCAGATCTCAATCCAACAGAACACATTTGTGATGTGGTGGAGCAACAGATTCACAGAGTTGACAAATTTGCTGCAACTGTGATGCTGTCATGTTAATGGATCAAAAGAGTCAGTGAAGAATGCTTCCAGTAGCTTTTTGAATGTATGCTATAAAGAATTAAGACATTTTTGAAGACAAAAAAAGACTCCAACCCAGTAGTATCAAGGGATAACTAATAAAAAGTGTCTGGCGAGTTTCTATTTTTTAAATCCTGGTCTCATCACCCATAAATCCAGAAACCCAGACGTTGCATGATAACTCTCAGTCTGGATGTGAGATACGGGAGATATCTAACACTAAAAGAACTAAAGCAAAAAACAAACAAAAACCCCCCAACCCATTATACACTACAGTTTTTTCCATGGGGGTTTGTTTGCTGTTGTCACCACTGCATGGTCTTAGATCTGGTCAGTTTCCTGGTCAGAGCGTGACGAACAGTCAACATGTATGAGCGACGTTCAGGCAGAGGGCGCTGCTGATCCAACACCAACCTGTGGCACACACACACACACACACACATACACACACAATCAAACAGCACATGAAAAAGAATCATAAAATCCTCTGGGCTCTAACAGTACACCCTAGAGAGATGTCTAATTATTGTTTTTGCTTTCCAGCATCGTTCAGGATCTTTCCTATCACCATCTATAAGAAAATCTTTTGTACTACCTTTGTTTATTGCTGTGTGACAGGGCGCAGTCCATCAGGAGCAGTACTGACTGTTGTTTTGAGTATATTTAATTAATAAAAATGTTGCATTCATAGTAGAAACACTGAAAACACGATTAAAATATGACTAGCATGGATATCACATGTCTGACAAAACACAGAAGAAACAAACCTGATGAGCTGAAGCACTGCTGCTTCCACTGCTAGGACTGCTTCAGCCACAGACAACTCTCTGAAACCACACCTAAAGACACAGAACGAAATCAATGGCTCATTTAGTTAGCATGCAAGGAAATAGTTTTTACTTACTTTATTTAGCACTCAGACTTTGTAGGCACAATATAGTGGAATTCAGGCTGAGCAGAATTGATATCCAATACATACACTACTATACATAAAGATTTAATTCTGTAACAAAAATGTGAAATTCATTAATAAAATATTGACCATGTAGTCAAAAAAAGCTTGTTTCCATATAATTTATAGTAGACTACATGCTGTGTGCCTCACCATCCCTCCATGTGTACATTATACATGAAGTAAGAGGGAGTAACAGCAGAAGCTCCAGCTCAGAGCACAGCATGAATCAGTGACAGCAAATTTGGCATGGATTAAGTCAGAAACAGCATAAAAGGGGGCACTGGGGTTGCAAAGTGGTTTGCAGATGGACAGCAAAGATGGGCAGGCTAAAACAGCTTCAGCTGGGATTTGCCAGCTGGTTGTGTACAAGAGTATCAGCTTACGATTACAGCCCAGCTTGACTGGACTGACATTATTCTTAATCAATGACAAAGTTATTTTATTATCAAGTATAACAAAGACAAGAAAAGCATTGTACAGTATTACCATGCACATATGAAAGCATGAGCACTCAAACCTTAAATCCTTGGCTAGTCTCTGTCCTTCGTCTGTTGTCACCTGCCTGCCGATTTCCAAATCTGCCTTATTGGCGACCAGCACCGCGGGAACCACTGACACACAGACACACAAAGTGAAGTGACAATAAACCATCACGATGACGCTATGGCACGCAGTTTGGAGTCATTCTGTCAGCACACTACTAACAGAAGACAGGGTGGCACAACCAAACATGGAATCTACGTCCACTCAATCTGTGAATATGTGGGTGTGTTTATGTGTGTATGTAAAGGTGAAAGAGAGACAGAACAGAGGCCTGATGTTTGTGTGAAGAACAGACTGTTAGTTCAGTTTTCAGCAGCAGTTTTCTCATACAGATCAAAATATCTCCCCACCCAGATTCTGCTTGGTTTGGTCAATGAGCGTCTTGAGTTGTGGGACCTCCAGGAAGCTGAAGCGCTGTGTGATGGAGTACAGCAGCAGGAAACCATCAGCCCAGCGAATGGAAGACTCCAGAGAAGCTACAGAGCTCTCCTAGAGGAGAATATATCATCAAAAAGTTTTCAGATTTATTCATAAACAATAGACATAGCTGGATATGTGTTAACAGGCTAACACTGTCACACTAACATCTACTTCAACATCACCATCTCACATGACAAGCTTGTCTTTGGACAGGGTAAAACATTGGGTTACTTAACGTAATCCCTGGTTCTTTGATAACAGAGTGAGGTGTTTCACTACGCTAAGGCGATTCCCATAGTGAAACGAAGTTAGAAAAAGAACCTAGAAACGTCTTGCTATGGGGTGGCCAATACAATACTGGACTCCCTTGCTAATATTTCTTTATTTTTTTTAAAAATTCTGTGTATATATATGATGTCTTTTTAACTTTCAGCTATTACTCAAAGCACTTTTACACTCCAAGCTGCATCCACAGGTATTTTTATTTTATCACTCATGCACACCCACAAAGAGGATCTTCAGTATCTTTTCCAAGCACAACATACAGATGCAGCAGCTGGAAACTGAACTAGCTACTGGTAGAATTAGGAAACAAGCAAGAAGTGTAATGGGTGTAACAACTGAAACAAATGGCATTACTTGTCCAACTACACTGCAGACTGTGGAGGACCATGAGTGACAAAATGAATGAACTAAACACAACATTAAATAATTAATTTAACATTGAGTAAATTAATTTAAAAAGGAAATAAACAAAACATTTTTCTGAAGTTTTAAAAGAAATGAATTGCTATTTAATTAATTAATTACATATTTATAAAATAATTTGAATTTTAATTACTGACACAGTCAATTAATTATTTAATGATGCAATTAGTTAATCTATTTTGGCACTTGTGACCCTCCATACAAAAACGTTTGCAAATTATTTAAAAACCGCAACAACAAACCCCCCTCTAAAGTTGGCTTTTACGTGGCAGAACAAAAAACATTTGAAAATTTTGCAAAATAAATGCTTTGATTTGAAAAACATAACAAATAATTTGGACACAGCAAAAGTCTAGCCTTTTAAACAACTACAAATAAAAGTCAATATTTACCTTCCAAGTTAAGTCCAGAATCTCCAGATCGACAGCTTCCTGATCCACCACCCGGCTGCATTTGTAGGTCACCTCTGAAGAACACACACACACAGACACACACAGAGAACTGTGTCACTTTCAAAAATCCTGCCAGTGAAGAACTCAGGTAAGTTATGTAATGTTTACTGTCAGCAATGCAAAAATATTTACCCAGGTCTTACCCTTTTTATGGTCGTATTCACCAATAAATCGCTTGGTTATGAAACGAACACACAGCGCTGGAGACACAAAACAGACACAGTGGCTGAAGGCGAGAAGCATATTTCTAACACATTCTGCACAGTCGCACACACACAAAGTTCCTTTTAGTCATTTGAATCTGATCTAAAGCATCCCGTGCTCACGTCATGCCTCCTTATGTGAGTGTTGCCTTCAGAACGACCCTCTTTGTGACTTTATTTAAATAAATGCACAAGTGCTTCCTTTGTGTTTGGGTGGAAAGAGCCCAAAGGCTCGTGTCTGTTTGACTTTCATGTCTGCTATTTAAGGCCTTGCTGTATTTTATCAGGATACATTAAAAGGTTAAACACGCTTGTTTAAATCATCACTTGAGCCTTTACACCTGGAAAAACACTGAGTTTATTTTCAGGCATGCTGCCCACCACTGTCACAATCGAATCCCAGCATGCAGACTTTGTTGACATTGTGCATAGATGGTTTGTCCCCTGAAATTTACTCTGGTCCTTCTAATATGAAGGAAATTAATGGAATTTGATGTGTGAGCCTTTAAACCATTGACAAAGTGCCGACAGCTAAATTTGGCATTGCTATTTTTGTAGTTTGCTATTCGCATTAGTCATTATACTGTAAGAATGTATGATAACTTTTACTCATCACACGTCTTATGTTTCCTCAGTTATTTTCGTAGGAATATGTGTAATGTTAAAATGTTATGGGTGTGTTGTAATGTCTCTATAACTGTGCCATGAATCTGTCTTCTCAGTGCATGAAAGCAGCTGAGCTCATAGTCGAGCGCACAAACATTTGAAATGAAGCAACAAGTTTGTCTATTACACTCAACTGAAGACGAGCTATTTTTAGAGCTGGACAAAAGTAGCAGACCTATATGACATTCAAAACATAGCAGTGGAGGTGATGGAGGTACATGTCAGTGCTATGAAAGATAAACACTCTAGCTTTTCCATTTTTAGCAAAAACCTTTAAACCGTGGCTCGCAGTTAACCCTAAACTTAACCTCTTTCATGCACTGCTGAGATGTTATCTGATTCAGAACTTAAAAAGCACGTCCCCCTCTCTGCGTGCCTGTGGTTTTCAGCTGCCTTGTCTCCAGCTTACCTGTTTTCCCAGTGTTCTGAGCTCCCAGAATGAGAAGTTTAACTGGAACCATTTTCCTGTTGTAGCCAAAATGAGTCCAGCGTGTGCCCTGCTGTTTGTCCCCGATTGATGCCCTGCAGGGAAGAGCAGAGGATGCTGAGCCAGCTTTGGGAGACAAAACAAAAGTAAATGTAAAAATAATAAAAACTGCACACAGTCTCAAAGAACTGAGAAAGAGCACGAACAATGAAGCTAGAAACTGAATAGAAGACTTACTACTGCCATAGTACTGACCATAAAGTGAAAATAAACTCCAGATATGGGGAGTAGTAAAAAACAATAAATGAACTCGCTGCTTGGTCTTAGACACTGAGCAGACAGAGAGTGGAGAGATGAGACTGTCTCCTCTTCTCTCCTGTGTCCCCCCCCTCTCTCTCTCTTAGGTAACTGCATATGACAGGAGCCATTTGTCTGTGGGAATGGCGTCCAACTCCGAGCGCACATCCTATTTTGGATCCATTGAGAACAAACACACAGGCACTCCTTTAACTACTTAATCACATCAAAAGCTCGCCTCTATCTACAGAAGTTCTTTGACAACAGATATCGACCCAGAGTCCAGAATGATCTCAAGCCTCACTATAATAACTTTGAGACTCAGGTGAGTGGCTCTGAGTGCACATACTTCAATTTCAGAATGTCAACTGGGCCAAGAGCATATTTTGGAGCTCAAGTGTTTCTTAGAGTTTATTTTTCTGTCTGTTATAGAATGAATATTAAAAAACTTTTAAACAGCTACATTTCAGAAGGAAGGTGTGAAACCCATCGTGCTTTTCTTTACCTTCTGCCATGCAGATATACTGCTTCAATGCTGGATGCTCATATAAAACATGAAGTCACTCTGTGAGTCAAAAGCTCAGGCTTCACATATTGTTTTGTGCACTTGGATCTACATGCCATAGAGATAGGACGTCCTTATATGGTCATCTCAGTCACAGCACCTGCAGTCTTTTGTTTGTGAGGGGCAGCCAGTCAGAAGAAAGGAAGGGAGAGGAGCTAAATCTTGTTTCCAACAGTGGATCAAGTGAGGAGCTGCACTGCAGCTCAGTGTAAATAAGGATTATTTTAAACTCAGAACATGCAGAGCTCCTACAGGAGTCCAAATTCTGACTTATTACTTCATTTCTAGAGTCTAGTAATATAATACATATTTTAAAAAACATACATTGCAAAAATAAAGTGAAGAATATGAGGACTCGTTTGATTTTAAAGCATTTGGAAGGCATCATAAGTGATATAATTTGAATGTTATTAAAATGATGCAATGGAGAGAAAAAAAAACACCTTAAAACTGGAGTAAAGACATTTTTAGGATTTTATTTATATTTTGTATGTTTCTCAGATTTATTCCACAAAGCTGGTTCTCAGCGGCGAAAACGATTCAACAGTATACACAAGCATTGAGGGCGACTTCAAGACACAAAGTTCAGAGATGTGTGTTGCTTCAGGGGAAAAAGGCAGAGCTGTCGTCATATCAAGTGTTCAGCAAACAGATGGCTCGTCGACGGCGGCGGCTCCTTCTGTGACGGCTTTGACGCACTTCGCCATTGTTTGGGAAGCCCTGCTGATGGAGTCTGAAGACAGAACGAAGCAGCACAGATTATGATACATATTTGCTTGCACATTATTTTGAGAGAAAAAAAATAGCTATTATATATATATAAAAAAATAAGTAAACAAACATACCTGTCATGTAGAAGTCCTTTACTGTAAGCTGAGGTGGCACCAGAGGAGCTGCTAAGAGCTCCTGGTTCACAGTCTGAGAGGAACAGAGTGAGGAGATAAACAGCTGAATCAAGTTGTCAGGTAAATCAGAGGCAGACCAACTAACTGTGAGTGTTTCTGTACCATAGCGAGCTCATTGGCTTGTTTAAAGTAGTTCGCCTCCTCTACATCGTCGTAACGGACCAGGTTAGGAGAGACTTCGGCTAGCCTGGATCGGATCTCATCTAAGGAGTCGTAGGGCAGCGTTACACCCGTCAGCTGAAAACGCACATAGACGTTAAGATGACTGGTTTCGTGTTAATAGTGAACATCAGTACGGAATACTCAAAACACTTCCTGCTTACTTCAGACAAAGCTCTGATGATCTTCCAGTCCTCTCTGGCGACTCCAGGAGCAGTGACGGCTATCTTGGTGTGCTGGCTCCTGCCTTCAGTGTTGACATAAGTGCCGTTTTTCTCCGTGTATGCAGCACTGGGTAGGATGATGTCTGCCATCGGTGCTCCTACGTCACCGTGATGACCTGAAGGGGTTGCAAATTGATGTTCATTCATGTCCCCAGATTAGCAGCATTTGGTTTGTCAAATCTGTGTGTGTGTGTGTGTGTGTGTGTGTGTGTGTGTGTGTGTGTGTGTACCCTGGTAGATGATGAGGCTGTCTTTGGGCAGGTCAGCTCTGCTGATGCAGCCTGCATCAGCTCCCAGCAGGAAAAGCACTTTAGGTGGATTCTTCCTGATGGCGTCCACTCCGGCCTTGTAGCCTAGATCGAGGGCAGCCACTTGACTCGCCACCCTGCTCTCACACACACACACACACAGACACACACACACAGTATGAGCATCTACTGTATCTCATTGCATTAGGGTTACTTGAAATCAGCTGCTTAGCTGTACCTGTGCAGGACGTTAAGGACTTTCCAGCTGTCCTCCACTCCGCTGCTGGCTCGAGCGTTCTGAGCAATGGTGGAGACGGCGCTCAAAATTGCAACTCCATCTTCTCTTTGCAGAGCGCCGCTGCCCACAACCACAACTGGACGCTTGGCAGCTGAAAGGACCTGCCAGGAGAGAACGGAAAAAAGATATTCAGTCTGGAAATGACTGCCCCTGCCTGAGCCCGGTTCTGCTGGAGGTTTCTTCCTGTTAAAAGGGAGTTTTTCCTTCCCACTGTCTTCAAGCGCTCACTCATAGCGGGCAATCTGATTGTTGGAGTTCATTCTCTATATATTCAAGCGTTTAAGGCCATTTACCATTTTGAATCTCACTGGACGACGTGCGTGTCCATTACCTTGCAGAAAGCATGTGTGCCATTGGCCAGCTGCTTCAGGACTGAAGTGTCTTCTCCTAGGTGATCGTACGTGTAACTCAGGTCAACCTTGTGGCCCACCGTAGCAATCTGCAGCTCATTATGGAGCCAGCTGACGGAGTGAGACGATAACAATTACAAAACTTTAAAAAACAAACAAACAACTTAAAACTTAGACTTAAATAACAAACCGTTAACTGTGATATGTGTTTACCTCTTGCGGATTCTGGCATTGAACAGTGGGGCTTCATAGCGAGGGTTCGTCCCCACGAGCAGCAGCAGGTCACAGTCCTCAATGCCAGCAATGCGAGAGTTTAGCAGGTAGTTGGAACGCAGGTCAGTTCTGCAGAAAGCAAAAAAAGAAGTAAAAAATAACACTGTCAGCTAATAAAGCCATGTATTTTAGCACCTAAGGGATGATGGGAGGCTCTTCCTTACCCTGCACCTGCCATGGGGAACAGCTCCTCAGTGCACAGGTTTTCTGAGTTGAGTCTGTTGAGGAGATCTTTGAGGGCGACCAGAGCTTCAGCGTCCGCCATCCCGCCCACTATGGCTGCCACCTCACTCCCCTGCACGCTCTGCAGCTGCACAAACACAAACATTTATGCATGACGACAGCCCCAAACTTCCTGACGACAAACAACAACAAACCTTAAAGTTTCCCAGAATTTATTTATGATTAATTTAATTACCAAGCAAGAGCCAATAAAGAAGCAAAAGCACTTACTGCTCCAGCAACACGAGTGAGAGCATCCTCCCAGGTGGTCGGGGTCAGCTGACCTGATTCATCCTTCACCATTGGTTGGGTCAGCCTCTGCCTCTTCAACCCATCATATGCAAACCTGCAGATACAGTTTAGTTCAGATACAGTGGAATACGTATATATATTTAAAACAAAAACACACCCAACTGTTTTAAAGATGATTATAAAGTGTGAGACTTTATGTCCAGTTCTGTATTACCTGGTCTTATCAGAAATCCATTCCTCATTGATGTCATCGTGGAGCCTGGGCAGTATCCTCATCACCTCGCCTCCACGTGTGCTCACAACAATATTGCTACCGACAGCGTCCAACACATCGATTGACTCGGTTTTCCTGCAAAGACGGCGGAACAACATGACGTAAAACTGCTCCGGGAAGTTCAAGAGAACTCGTGTTAAATACAATCGAGCATCAGACCCTTTCCTACCTAGTTTCCCACGGTCTTGCAGTGAAGGCGTAGGGCTTGGAGGTGAGCGCCCCCACAGGACAGATATCGATAACGTTGCCCGACAGCTCCGACATGAACATCTTCTCCACGTACGTCCCGATCTGCAAGTCGTTTCCTCTTCCTGTCGTTCCCAGGTCTTCAACGCCGGCAATCTCGCTTGCAAAACTACAAACACACGCAGGCAGGGCAAGCTGTTTGAATATCCACCTCCATGCAAATGTTACAGCTCCATCAAAGCATGAACTGGTTTTAATCACTGTACATCAAATCTTTCAACACTGCTTTTAGTTATTTATTCACCCTTTATTACAGAAGTGCAATATTTTCTTTAATTACTGTGACCTTTCCCTCTTGAAGCACACATTGATGTCTAGCACTGTGCATGTATGTGTGCGTGTTAGAAAAATAAGTGTGTTATCGGTCTTTATTATGTCCTCATGTTCGGTTTCTAGGTAATTTAAAACACAATTATAAAGGAGTTGTGGACCTTCCATGAATGTAACGTGTCTTTTGCCACATTACATCGCTGTTAATGCCACATTATTACATTATTCGTGACTGACGTGTACATGACACTCACCGGACGCAGCGCGTGCACTGGATGCAGCGGGTCATGATGGTTTTAATGAGAGGCCCGATGTTTTTGTCCTCCACTGCTCTCTTTCCTTCTGAGAAGCGGCTGCGGTCTGAACCGAACTGCATGGACTGATCCTGAGAAAAGAGGAGAAAAAGACGGGAAAAAAGCTGATCCTTTGATCTAAATGCGCTCATGAGAAT